ACTGATAGCAATTGTTAGTGATATTCTCATCTAGTAATAAACATTTAGTCAGACTAGTCAACTCACACGAGTATAGGAATTCCATACATTAATATGTATTTTATGTATCTTAGATATAGAAATAATTAGATAAGGGAAAAGTTTCTTTCTTATAACAGGCCTCAAACTATAAAACCTATAAATTCACTCTTTACTACTTATTTAGTAGCTATAAAGTTCACTTGCCTAACCACAAGAGTGCTGATCACCAAACCCAGGAGAAGTGGGATGTCTTGATGGGATATGGAAAGTTCCCCAACTTATTTCTGTACCTCTGGACCACCCTCTCTTGCCCAATATGAGGAGGGGACCATCTTTGGACCACTTAGTCAGCAGAGATGACCCTAGCCTTCACCATCCTGTGACCACTCATACTGATGCATCATTTCTGGCCTTCCTGGAGGGTCAAAAGCAAGGCCTATCATTCAGTGAGACCCTGTATTTTACTTTGCCTCTTCTGAGTATCTGAGTATCAAGCCTGATAAAAGTAAGGCCCTGGGGAAAGGGGCCATCTTAGATCCTGAGGAAGATCTGAGGTCCCATTCATTGAAGGGGTCTGGTCCCTTTAATAAATGATTAATGGCTCGGAGCCCTGCCTCAGTGGTTTTTTTGATAGATTGGAGAATTTTGGACCCCACAATAGGGTCCAAATGGAAGGGCAGGATAGAGTGGGATAGGGACACAGGAAGGATTATGGAATTGACCTTGAGAGCAGGGAGTGGTGGCCAGGGAAGGGAGCTCTGGCCCAGGCAGTTGGCCTCTGAATCCCAGGGACCCTCACAGGACCCATGTCACAGGAGTAGTGGCAATGTTGATTTGATTATCAATCCTTGAGAAGAGGTAGGAAGGGAGAAGTGGGAAGAAAAAGGGAAAAGAAGGAAGGGATGGGCAGATGAGTTCTGGATCCTGCCTGATGGCCAAGGAAGGGGTTGGTGGTATGACTTGTCCAAGATTAAGAAAGGGATCATTAGAGTCCTGTGGCCTGGTGGTTAGAAAGAGATCACATAGGAGCTATTTGTCCTTTTAGCCTCAACTCGGTCAGCTAGCTCTGACCCAGGGTTCATTCTGATGTTGAAGAAATCACTGGGGGCAGGGAGGTGGCAACCAAGGAGGGTCATTGGCGCTGGGTGGCTGGCCAGTTGGGAGGAGGTAGGAAGACTCCAGGGCCTGCCTGATGGTTGAGGCAGCACACAGTGGGGTGACTTGTCCAAAGTAGGATTTGAACTCAGGTTCTCTTCCTCCAGAGCCAGTGTTCTTTCCACTATTACCTGGCTATGGTTGCTAACTCAGGAGAAACTGCAGCCTAGATCTTTGGGATAAAGGACCTGCAGAGGGGCTAGTGGAGTGACCACCACTCTCACCCACCGCCAAGGAAAATAGCTGGTTTCTGCACTATTAACACTGAACATAGGAGGCAGTTAGGTGGCTCAGTGGATAGAGCACTGAGTTCAAATCCAGCCTCAGACACTCACTAGTTGCGTGACCCTGAGCAAGTCACTTAACCTCTGTTTGCCTCAATCCACTGGAGAAGGAAATGGCAAATCACTCCAGTAACTTTGCCAAGAAAACCCCGTGGACACTACAGTCCATGGGGTCACCAAGAGTAGGACACGAGTGAACAACAACAAAGTACTGAACGTATGTTCTTCTCTGGTTATCTGTCCCGCTGCCTTCGAAGACTTGGCTCTGGTTCCTTCCAGAGATCTTCAAGGCTCCATGAACAAGAGGACTCGTCTCCTGGGGGTGGGCCTTGACACCAGCTCAGGGGTCACTGCCAAGAAGGGTCATTGACCTTTCAACATCCAGAGACAGGGAATGGTGATTTGGGGAAGGAATGGCCATTAGAGACCTGGAATGCAATGCCACACTGCCGATCCTACTGAATACAACTTGCTTGGTTCTCCATTCAGGCATAGGGCTATTCTCCAGTATCAAGGGAACAGAACGGACAGAACGATGAACTTGGAGTTAGGCAGAGCTGGGCTTAAATCTGCCTGATATTCATTAGCTATGTGACCTTGGGAAATTCCTTAGACTATTCTGAGCCTTAGCTTTTCTGTCTGAAAAGGGGGGGGGGGAGGGAATAAGCATTTTTTAAGAGCTTACAATGTGCCAGGCAATGTGCTAAGTGCTTTACAGATATTATCTCAATTTAACCTCATAACTACCCTGAGAGGTAGGTGCTACTATGATCCCTATTTTATAGGTGAGGAAACTGAGGCAAAGAGATGTTAAGTGATTTACTCAGGGTCACACAGCCAGTAAGTATCTGAGGTTGGACTTAAAATTCAGATCTTTCCAACTCCAGGCCCAGTGCCTTATCCACTGTGCCACCTAGCAACTTAAAAAAAAATTGCGGTTATCAAAAATGAAGCAATGTCTATAGAGCACTTTGTAAACAAAAATGTCAGTTACTATAGCTAGCCAGCTTCTCCTCATCCACCTTCAGGGCTTTACATATAACAGGACCACAAGATTTGGAACTGGGACTTTCACATACAACCATTCATTTTACAGATGAAGAAACTGAGGCTCAGAGTTTTTTTTGGTCTTCCATCTGTAAAACAAAGATAACATTTGCACAGGACAATTTTAGTACTACCTGGTTAAATGGTACATAGGTAAAGTGATCAGGCCTAGATATCATGAGCAAGCCTTCTTCATGTGGCTTTGGGCTCAAGTCCATCAAATTCTGTAAAATAGAATTTACCATTACGTGTGCCATATACGTGACAAGGCTATCTGTGTAGAAGCAGTGTGGCCAAATGGAAAGTGTACAAGACGCCTGGGTTTGACCCTTGGCCCTGACACTTACTAGCTGTGTGGCCATGGGTAAGTCATTTCCTCTCTATGTGGCTCTGCTTCCTCGTCTGTAAAACTGCAGTAACACATCAGAGTTGTTGCCAAAAAAGTGTCTTCAGTTTACTACACTTTCGAGAAACCGATTTTACTTGCTAGATTAGTTTCATATACCATCTTTTCTGCTCTCCTTTGTATATTGAAATGGTCATGTTTGTTGATGCTTATAAAATTCAGAATAAAAAGAGTGACTTTAAAACTTCAAACACTAGAGGTCGTGAACTGAGGTTGATTAATCTAGTATTTTAACAACCAAACATGAAGTATAGGTTGTATTATAGTCAAGCATAAATTTATCACCCTAGAAGGATCATTTTCAAAGGTTGGCCCCATTCTCCTCCTCCAGATAGCAGGCCTTTCTGCCCTCCTAAATCTGGGCCCTGTCAAAACTCCAGAAGAAATCTAGGACTCTGAGCACCACCCCCCCATATGTTTTCATCAAGCTCTTCCCGTTAGGCCAAGGGCTGCCTGACAACTCTCCTTGGCATTTCTTAAGACAGTAAGGATATTCATACCACTGATTCTTGGCCATGGTGATGAAGCCTCTGGGAGCAAAGTTCGCCCATACCCTTCCTTCTCCTCCATCTGATGTCACCAAAGACAACGGCATGTTCAGGCCTGAAGTAGCTTTGGCATTCGATTTCTTTGGGACTTATAATCAGGCCAAATTTTCAACTGAATTTTTAAGGAGTAAGGGAGAAACGAGGGCTGGCCTCAGAAACAAGAAAACCTGGGTTCAAGCCCAGCCTCTGACACATCCTTGGGAGGCTCTGAGTGAGGCACCTAACCTCTCAGTTTCCCTAAAATCATAAGCTGTAGAGCTAATGGTGGACTCCACTGGTAGAGAGTTTCCCTACCCAAAATTCCCTATACCAATGAATTCACAGGTGTGGCCCAACAAAAGGGGAAAGAAATAGGATTTTGCTTTTTAATTTGCCATGCCTCCTATAGTGCTGACACCCCCCCGCCCCCTTGGAGCATGCCCATCTTTATACTTGCTAGTTTTTTCTGGTTACTTTCAGCAACAAACCCAGCACTCTAACTTTCACATCTTTCCTCACCCCATACTAGTTTCAATCAACATAACTGACAGTCGTTGTTTATCTTCTTGAAAAGTTAACTTTTAAACGACGAAAGTATCTTTTAAACAGGCGCTATGGAAAACTTACAGAACGAAGGGCTTCTGCCCGGAGGGAACTTAATTATTTAATTTTATCCTTTGCCTTCAGGAAGGCAATGATCTTTCAAAGAAATATGGAAAACTTAAGTTACAGACTCTGACAAAACACAAGCTCTATCCCTTAATCAATGTTCACTGTGGAATCTACAGTAATTTCTAAGGTCTCTTGGTTTAAGTTACTAGTTAGTAGTTCACCTACAAATGCTGGCGCTGACTCTAAAGGGGCAGACAACACTACCAATTTATGCTGGACGGCCTGCCACAACTGGACTGGCCCTTATCGTTTCCTCACGGATGATCTCTAAAATCTACAGCCCTGTCCTTGCCCTCTGGAGTCCCTGAAGCTGTCTGCTATTGACTGTCGGGCTCAAAGGGCTAAAATGTGTCTTTGATTTGCTTTCCCTTTCTGGATGATAAATGCTCAGTTCCTGGAATGTTCATGCAAACCTGATAGTACAAGATGATTTTTTTGAACTTTCTGGAATTATTTCCACAAGATTCTATAAGCCCCAGATTTGTTGTTGTTGTTATTGTTTTTAATCTAGGTAGGACACTTGGTTGACAAAGAGGGATCTCTGTGTCAGGTAGCTGCCCTCCAAACCGGCATTTGAGCTAATTAATAAAAGAGTTTCTAATAGATCTGATCATTAAATATAATGCTGAATGACTCAGTTTATTTTTCTGACAAAAGGAAGAGAAGAATTCTTCCGGGAAAGAAAAACCACAGCAATTACATTTCTTTCCTAGTCCTCTCTGAAGAAACCTTGATTTGGCAGCATGAAATACTTCTACTGTTGGAAGCCTACTTTTGACTTCCTAAGGCTCTAATGCCTGAACTCAGCATCCAAGTTCTTGGATATGACTATATAAAAGAAACAGAGGAAGAGGTGTGGGGTGTGAACGCAAAAAAAAAGACCGGCTCTCTGGGTAGTTGTTTTGTCTTTAATGGGCACCAGACAACATCTCCTAGAAGTGTTCTGCAATCACGAAGATGGGCATCATGGGTCACTTATTCGTCTTCAGTTATGTTCTCCAACCCCTAAAAAAGTTGAAAAGGGAAAGAAATGTGAATTCCATTGTCTCTGAAGAGAGGTCAGCATCTCTGACTTATAGCTCTTGCTACAAAGCAGCTATCACTCTCTGCTTGCATTTATATTGATGTAAAAACCAGACAGTTATGATTTCAACATATATATTATTAGACATGATAACATATCATATAGTTTTAAAAATCATATACTCTGCCTATTTCTAAAAGGACCTGCAGCAACATTCCGATGGATATATGAAAGAAAAGCACCACAGCACAGTGGGCAGAGAACAGGCCGCAGAGCCAGGAAGATCTGGGTTTGAGTCCCACCTGGGCCGTTTATCTGCTAAAGGGCACGATCTGAATCACTTTTCCCCCTGCAGAATCATTTCAGTCATAGCAGATATGTTCAATTAGTCTGTACATTTATTCCAAGTCAGGAGAAGCAGTTTTAGGCTTGGCATTGTTGAAAAAAATAAAGTGATCTGACAAATAAATCAGAGGCATTGGGGGAAAAAACAACCTACTTATAACATCAATTTACTATTTAAAACATTCATCCTAGTCTCTCCTCTCTACAGCAAGTCAGATCTCTGTGATTTGTCCAGAATTGAAGAATACAAGGGATCTGAGGCATGTAGCCTAAGCCTACTCCACAGGAATGTCCACAGTAACGTAACGGCCATTATCCAGTCTTGGCTTGAAGACCACCAAGGAAGGGGGAACCATTCCAGCTGGAGGCAATCCATTCTACTTTGGGAAAGCTCGAATTGTCAGAAAGGAGTTCCTATCTCCTCACCTAAACTGGCTTGTTTGCACCCTCCCCCCTACTGCTGCTAGTTCTGCCTTCTGAAGGCACACAGGATAAGGCCAATCCCACCTCCATGTGACAGAGGCCCTTCCAAACCTGAAGAATCATGTCCTCTCAAGCTCTGTCTTCTCTACAGACTAAACACTACCTGTGCCTGGCACGGCCTTCTACAGTTACACATCCAAGCTGCTACCTCAGAGTCACTGACTAATGGCCTAAAGACTCCCTGAAGATTACCATCGTTAAGAAGAGATCATTGCTAACAATTATTTGAACTGCACATCCTGGCTTAGTTTAGGCATAATCTCACAGAAAAAGAGAATCAAGATGTGTTTATGTAGCATTCTGTGTACGTTCTTTTCGTGTGATTCCTACAACTCTGTGAGGTAAGGCAGTGGGTGTATTATTAGTCCCAATCTGCTGCAGTGCGAACTGAAGTTCAAAGAGGAAAAGAAGAATTTGCAAGGTGCAGCCACTAAAAATGTGAGTCGGGCCTTGAGCTCAGCTCTCTGAAATCGAAGGCCAGGATTCTTCCAAATGCACACTGGGCTGCCTTTCTCAAATCAGAGGGTCACCCTATTTCCTTAGGTTATTAAAAAAACAAAACAAAACAACAGTCAGTTTCCTCCAGATTTGGGCCTTCCTTAGGTTTCACTCTTACTAGAGCTCTTATAAAGGTATCAAAGTTCGACTGAAGGCAGAGGAATTCGGCCTTCTAAATAGTGGTAAGGGGTTCCCTGAACTTGTCTTTTTGAGTTGCCATACGTTCCAGAAATACTGGACCCACAGCATGTGGCCCTGAATGTGTCGAGGACAAAGGCTGCCCCCCCCCCCTCCACTGACATAATGTTTGGATCCCAAACTGGACTTCCTGTATGTCCTTGGCAGTCAAGACTGGTGCCAGCCAGGCTGGGAAATTGCTTGTGCAGCTGGGACCCGTGTAGATAAACAGACCATCCTCATGTTCATAGTCTAGCAATTCCCAAGGGAAAAGAATGTGACTTTTGCGTAGCCTTGCCCCTCCCCTTCAGGAGGGGTTTTGTCCTTTCCCCACCTTTACTGCACCTTTCCCCTTCCCATGCCACTCCCCTTTAGGTAGAGATTTCTGGTATCTCCTTCTTTTGTCCTGCTGTCATAAATATGCAAACTTCTGTATGGATTGTGAACTCTTTAGGTTATACCCACATATTCATTTCTCTTGTATAAACCTGGTTTTCACATTAGTTTCAACTCTATCTGACAACAATACCAGACTGTTGAGATAATGCATTCTGAGGAATTTCACAGTGTATCCTGGACAGAACTGGAAGCAGCACACTACCTTACCTGGGGACCATGAAATCACAAGTTAGAGTCTCCAGGGCCAGTGAAATCAACTGAAAGATCCCTCCAGGGTAAGACTTTCAAAATGAACTCAACCCACCAAATGGGACGCACAGCTAGCAGGACAAACTGTACCTTAGCCTCATAATAATGACTGAATCCAGAGATCCTCTTGTCTCTCTCCAACAGATTCCATTGGTATCGATTACGGGCAATTCTCTTTTCCTATAAAGAGAACAATGTCATTACACTGAAGTTCAAATGGCCCAGTGGCCAGAAATTAAAAGTGTAAAAGAGAAAGCTTCAAAGACTATCACAAAGCTCAAACAAAAGAGGGGGGAGCATGGATGAAGCCCAGAAAGAAAAACCAGGCTACAGAACTTCGAAGTTAAGAGGCCTCAGCCTCTTAAGGATAAGGGGTATGTGAAGAGGGGATGGAAATTAGGAGTCAAAGATCTAACAATTTAATCCCTAGAACTTCTCTTCAGTTCTTAGTCTCTATGACAAAAAAAAAAACTTTATATATAATAGCATCTATAATATAGGTATATTAATAACAATGTAAATAATAGAGATATAACTATAATAATAACTAACATTTAACTATGCCAGGCACTGTGCTAAGCACTTTACAAATATTATCTTATTTGATCCTCACAACAACCCTGGGCAGTAGGTGCTATAATTATCCTCATTTTTACATACAGATGAGGAAACTGAGGCAAACAAAGGTGAACTGACTTGCCCAGGCTAGTAAGTGTCTGAGGCTGAATTTGAACTCAGGTCTTCCTGACTAGCATTCTATCCATTGGGCCCTCTAGCATCTTTCTTTTGTGTTTACAGCACTCACATTTCCCAACACATTTCTTCTCCTCTCAGAGGGCCATAAGTTATAACAAAGGGGAAAAAAAGGGGAAAAATTTTTTAGCAAAACTCATCAACATATTGAAAGTCTTATGCGATATGCATCGGTCCACACCCATAGTCTTCCACATCTGTAGGAATCAGGGGAAACTTTCTCCTATCTCTATCATTATGATTTCATACTATTCAGTTTTGAAGTTGTCATGCTTCCTGGCCAGCATGCAGTATGCTATTCTGACACTGCTGTGTCCCTTTACCCCTTGGCTTAGGTGGTACTGCTCTCTCAAGACTCTCTTGCTATTTCTTTAATTTTTCCTTCTCCGGCTCTTCTCCTTCCTTCCATTTGCTCAAATCAGGGACTCTCGAGGCTGTGCACTGGGTTTTCTTCTGTCCCTTACCCACAGCTTCTGCTCTCAAGAAATAATGCCCCTCTACTCTTACTAAAATTCAATGCCTACCCCTAAATTGATAACCATCTTCCTGCAGACTGCATATGATATTATATTTAGTGCTTCAAGGTTTTACTGGCAACCCTGTGAGACATGATAAATGCATTAGTCTTTATTATCCCTATTTTACAGATGAGGAAACTGAGAGTCTGAGTGATTAGGTCACTTGCCTGTCCTCACGGAAAGTATGTGAGAAGGCATTTGAACCCAAGTCCACTGACTCCAATACACTTTCCATTATACCTTCAATCAATCTACCAATAAGCATTTATAAAGTACCTACTATGTGCTAGTTATTGCACTGTATTTTCAAATAAAACAGAGGAAAAGGTTACATTCTACCTGAGGGAGATAGTATATACATATACAACTCCACCCCTTCCCCTCCCCCAACAACTATCTTGTATAAGAGGCAGTAACTGAAGCTAAAAGAGATGAGGAACGGCCTCAAGTAGAAGGTATTTGAGGTAGGATTTGAACCTGTGTCTTCCAGAATCCAAGTCCAGTGCCCTTTCCACTACACCATTCTACCCTCGCAACAGGCATTAGAGATTATATGACATCTGTGTTGTTACTAGACTGTGAGGCCTTCTAAGGGCAGGTCTGATATTTGACTCATATCTATCCCCAGCACCTAGCATTAGGCCTTGTACACAGTAGCTCAATAAACATCTGCTGAATAAATGGAGTGAATGTAGTTTGGGGGAAGTAACTGGATTCTCTCCTCTCCTTTTGGCCTTGAACCTCTCTACATTAATCTCCATTTCTTCTTGCCATATAACCCTTTTCTTTGTACCTTCCCCTGATTTTCCCACTCCCTTCTACAGCCAGATCAGGAGGTCCTTTGCTATTACTCAGGGCTCTTCAGATTTCTCCCCCTTACTTTTTAAAAAAAATCATTTTTATACATTTACATAGATTTGTATATTATATATCACCTTCATTTCTGAATGTCCCATCTCCAACTCTACCCAGGGAGCCATCCCTCATAATAGAGAATAATGAAAGAGGGAAAAAAGCCATTTTAGCAAAACTAACATATCTAAGTTTGACAGTATGTACAGTGCTCCACAACCATAGTGAGGGAGGACAGAGAGAAAGGGGGATATAGTTCCTACCAAGTGCCAGGAACTGTGCTAAACTCTTTTACAAATTTGATCCACAGAGCAACCCTGGAAGGTAAGTGCTATTATTACCATCTCACTTTTGTTTACAAATGAGGAACCTGGGGCTAACAAGAGGTTAAGTGAATTGCCCAGGGTCACGCAACTAATAAGTATCTGAGATCAAACTTGAACTCAAGTCTTCTTGACTTGAGGCCCAGTGCTCTATTTATCCACGGGACGGCCGTAGATCCCCTTTATCTCTGTAAAGAAGGGATTCTTCTCATTTTCTCAGGCAACAAAGAGTTGCCTCCAACCTTCTGTTTGCATTACAGGGAGGGAAATCAGGGCTTCTCCCCAGTGAAACAATATTTAGGGCAGAAACTAGAGAGAATATCCCTTCACTTAGCACAGAAAAGATTTACTTTTTGGCATGCCATCTGTGTGAGGAAGATGGAAAGCTAGTAATGGAAAGAGCACTGGTTTTGGAATCAGAGGAGTTGGGTTTGAATACTGTATACCCTCAGATACGTCACTTCCCCTGCCTAGACTTCAATTTCTTCCTCTGTAAAATGAAGGGGGGAGGGGTTGAATCGAATAGGCCCTGGGGTCCCTTCCAGCTCTAATTCTAGGATCCTATGGGTGACCCGGAACAAGTCCCTTCCCTTCACTGGGCCTCAGTTTCCTCCTCTGTAAAAGGAGTGGGGGTGGACGCGATAGCCCGAGGTCCCTTCCAGCTCTAGAGCAAGGATGTTATACATGACCCTTGGCAATTCCCTTCCCCTCCCGGGCCTCGGAGCCAGCTCGACATCTCTGGGTCCTTTCTCCAGCCTCGGAGCCGCCCGCGGGCTGAGGCTCGAGTACCGTAACAGTCAGGAAGGGCAGAGACGCTCTGCAAGCCCTAAGGGACACGAGGCGACCCCCTCCGGGGCCCAGCTCGGGTGCGCGGGGCTGCTGACGGGCAGCCTGGCCCTACCTTGCCCCCATTGCTGTACTTTTGGATGAGAGCGGTGCTAATTCCCGGGATCGTCAGACATATGCCCATAACTGCCAGTCCGGGCAGAATTTCGAACCACATCTCGGCAGGAGGTCCGGGGCCACGGACTGTAACTGACCGCGGATACTACTCCGGCCGCGGGGTTAAGGTGACTGGAGTTGCTTCCCGTACCAGTAGCCCCCGCACCGCCACGCCCCTAGGCGGTGGCCAATCAACGCCTCGCAGCCGTGGCCCCGCCCGCCTTTTTCATCTTTGTGACAGGAAGTGACGTCACGACCGGTAGTGACTAGTTGACGGCCAAGCCTTCAGAGAGAGCGAGATGGCTGACGACCTGGCGCCTGAACCTGCGGCTGGCCCTGTGTGCACCTTCCTCTTCAAGAAGTCGGCCCGTAAGGGCAACGCGGCGCGCCGGAAACGGCCTGCCTTTGACAGGCCGCCTAGGGGAGACGGCAGCAGCAGCAGCAGCAGCGATGAGGGCAACGTCGTGGTCCGGCGGGAGAAGAGGCGCCTGGTCCCCAACCCCATGATCCAGAAAACGCGCAGCAGCTGCCGGGAGAAGAAGTCGCCCGCCTCTTACAGCGGCGCTAGCAGCGGCGGCGACGACGAGACCGAGCCTTCGTCCGCCGTGAGCGTCGTCTATAAGTCCACACGCTCGGCCAAGCCCGTGGGCCCCGAGGACATGGGCGCCACCGCCGTCTACGAGCTGGACACGGAGAAGGAGCGCGATGCGCAAGCCATCTTCGAGCGCAGCCAGAAGATCCAAGAGGAGCTCCGCGGCAAAGAGGACGATAAGATCTATAGGGGCATCAACAATTACCAGAGGTACGTGAAACCCAAGGACACGTCCATGGGCAACGCCTCATCGGGCATGGTAAGAAAGGGACCCATCCGTGCGCCCGAACATCTGCGCGCCACGGTGCGCTGGGATTATCAGCCCGACATCTGCAAGGACTACAAGGAGACCGGCTTCTGCGGCTTCGGAGACAGCTGCAAGTTCCTGCACGACCGCTCTGACTACAAGCACGGCTGGCAGATCGAGCGCGAGCTGGACGAGGGTCGTTACGGGGGCATCGACGAAGACAACTACGAGGTGAGCAGCGACGACGAAGACCTGCCTTTCAAGTGCTTCATTTGTCGACAGTCTTTCCGTAACCCCGTGGTGACCAAGTGCAAGCATTATTTTTGTGAGAGCTGCGCCCTCAGTCACTTCCGCACCTCACAGCGCTGCTACGTCTGTGACCAGCAGACCAACGGAGTTTTCAACCCAGCTAAGGGCCTGATCGCCAAGCTAGAAAGACACCAAGCGGAGGGGAAGGCGGGCACCTCCGACCCCTTAGAAAGCTCTGATGAAGGTGTAACCCCTGTTACTTAAACCTAGTGAATAGGTAACAATAAAATCTCTTCCTAAATTTTGATGAGTGGAGATTTCTGACTCAAGCGTCTCCGGGGACTGGGGGGAGAGGGGGTGGCTCGGGGAAGAGGGAGGGGCAGAAGAGAAACAATGGGGAGGCTTGGATTGCCTGTTTCCCCTGAGTTACCAGACTAAACTTGGGGGGGGGGGG